TACTAACAGCAGATCTCTCCACAGAAACCCTATAAGCCAGAAGAGAGTGGGGGCCAACATTCAACATTCTTCAAGAAAAGAATTTTCAACCCAGAATTTCATATCCAGACAAACTAAGCTTCATAAGTGACGGAGAAATAAAAACCTTTACAGACAAGCAAATGCTGAGGGATTTTGTCACCACCAGGCCTGCCTTACAAGAACTCCTGAAAAAAGCACTACATATGGAAAGAAAAAACCAGTAGCAGCCACTGAAAACACATACCAAATTGTAAAGACCATAGACTCTATGAAAAAACTACATCAACTAAAGGGAAAAATAACCAGTTAGCATCATAATGACAGGATCAGATTAACACATAACAATATTAACCTTAAATGTAAACAGGCTAAATGCCCCAAATAAAAGACACAGACTGGCAAATTGGATAAATATTCAAGACCCATCAGTGTGCTGTATTCAGGAGACCCATATCACGTGCAAAGGCACACATAAGCTAAAACTAAAGAAATGAAGAAATATTTACCAAGCAAATGGAAAGCAAAAAAAAAAAAGCAGGGATTGCAGTCCTAGTCACTGATAAAACCAATAAAGATTAAAAAAGAAAAAAAAAAGACAAAGAAGGGCATTACATAATGGTAAAGGGATCAATGCAACAAGAAGAGCTAATCATCCTAAATATATATGCACCTAATACAGAGCACCCAGTTTCATAAGGTTAGTTCTTAGAGACCTACAAAAAGACTTAGACTCCCACACAATAATAGTGGGAGACTTTAACACACCACTGTCAATATTAGACAGATCAATGAGACAGCAAATCAATAAGGATATTTAGAACTTCAACTCAGCTCTGGACCAAGCAGACCTACTAGACATCTACAGAACTCTCCACCCCCAAATCAACAGAATATACATTCTTCTCAGCACCACATGGCACTTATTCTAAAATTGACCATGTAATTGGAAATAAAACACTCCTCAGCAAATGCAAAAGAATGGAAATCAAAACAGTCTCTCAGACCACAGTGCAATCAAATTAGAACTCAGGATTAAGAAACTTACACAAAACTGAACAACTACATGAAAACTGAACAACTTGCTCCTGAATGACTACTGGATAAAGAACAAAATTAAGGCAGAAATAATGATTTTGTTGGAACCAATGAGAACAAAGACATAACGTACCACAATCTCTAGAAAACAGCTAAAGCAGCATTTAGAGGAAAACTTATAGCACTAAATGCCCACAGGAGAAAGTAGGAAAGATCTAAAATCAACACCCTAACATCGCAACTAAAATAACTAGAGAAGCAAGAGCAAACTAATTCAAATGCTAGCAGAAGACAAGAAATAACTAAGATAAGAGCCAAACTGAATGAGATAGAGACACAAATAACCCGTGGAAAAAAAGAAATCAATGAATCTAAGGCTGGTTTTTTGAAAAGATTAACAAAATAGACAGACTGCTAAACAGACTAATAAAGAAGACAAGAGAGGAGAATCAAGTAGACACAATAAAAATGATAAAGGGGATATCACCACTGATTCTACAGAAATATGAACCACCATCAGAGAATACTACAAACACCTCTACACAAACTAGAAAATCTAGAAGAAATGGATAAATCCCTGGACACATACACTCTCCCAAGACTAAACCAAGAAGTCAAATCCCTGAATAGATCAGTAACAAGTTCTGAAATTGAGGCAATAATTAATAGCCTACCAACCAAAAAGAAGCCCAGGACCAGATGGATGCACAGCCAAATTCTAACAGAGGTACAAAGAGGAACTGGTACCATTCCTTCTAAAACTATTCCAAGCAATAGAAAAAGAGGGACTCCTCCCTAACTGTTTTTATGAGGTCAGCATCATCCTGATGCCAAAACCTGACAAAGACACAGCGAAAAAGGAAAATTTCAGGCCAATATCCCTGATGAACATTGATGCGAATATCCTCAATAAAATACTGGCAAACCGAATACAACAGCACATTAAAAAGCTTATCCACCACAATCAAGTTGGCTTCATCCTTGGGATCCAAGGCTGGATCAACATACAGAAATCAATAAACATAACCCATCACATAAACAGAACCAATGACAAAAACCACATAATTATCTCAATAGATACAGAAAAGGGCTTCGATAAAATTTAACACCCCTTCATGCTAAAAACTCTCAATAAAATAGGTTATTGATAGAATGTATCTGAAAATATAATAGCTATTTAAGACAAACCACAGCCAATATCATACAGAATGGGCAAAAGCTGGAAGCATTTCCTTTGAAAACCAGCACAAGACAAGGTTGCCCTCTCTCACCACTCCTATTTAATAGTATGGGAAGTTCTGGCCAGGGCAATCAGGCAAGAGAAAGAAATAAAGGTATTCAAATAGGAAGAGAGGAAATCAAATTGTCTCTGTTTGCAGATGACATAATTGTATATTTAGAAAACCCTATCATCTCAGCCCAAAATCTCCTGAAGCTGATAAGCAACTTCAGCAAAGTCTCAGAATACAAAATCAATGTGCAAAAATCACAAGCATTCCTACACACCAATAACAGACAAACGGACAGCTAAATCATGAATGAACTCCTATTCGCAATTGCTACAAAGAGAATAAAATACCTAGGAATACAACCTACAAGAGATGTGACAGACCTCTTCAAGGAGAACTACAAATCACTGCTCAAGGAAATCAGAGAGGGCAAAAACAGATGGAAAAACATTTCACGCTCATGGGTAGGTAGAATCAATATCATGAAAATGGCCATACTGCTCAAAGTAATTTATAGATTCAATGCTATTCCCATCAAGGTACCATTGAGTTTCTTCACAGAATTAGAAAAAACTACTTTAAGTTTCATATGGAACCAAAAAACAGCCCGTCCTATAGCCAAGACAACCCAAAGCAAAAAGAACAAAGCTGGAGGCATCACATTACCTGACTTCAAACTCTACTACAAGGCTACAGTAACCAGAAGAACTTGGTATGTACCAAAACAGATATATAGACCAATGGAGTGGAAGAGAGGCCTCAGAAATAACACCACACATCTACAATCATCTGATCTTTGATAAACCTCACAAAAACAAACAATGGGGAAAGGATTCTCCATTTAATAAATAGTGTTGGGAAAACTGGCTAGCTATATGCAGAAAACTGAAGCTGAACCCCTTCCTTACACCTTATACAAAAATCAACTCAAGATGGAATTCAAGATTTAAATGTAAGACCTAAAACCAAAGAAACCCTAGAAGAAAATCTAGGCAATACCTACCATTCAGGACATAGACAAGGGCAAAGACTTCATGACTAAAACACCAAAAGCAATGGCAACAAAAGCCAAAATTGACAAATGTGACCTAATTAAACCAAAAAGCTTCTGCACAGCAAAAGAAACTATCATCAGAGTGAACAGGCAACCTACAGAATGGGAGAAATTTTTCCAATCTACCTATCTGACAAAGGGCTAATATCCAGAATCTATAAGGAACTTAAACAAATTTACAAGAAAAAAACAAACAACCCCATCAAAAAGTGGGCAAAGGATATGAACAGATACTTTTCAAAAGAAGACAGTTATGCAGCCAATAAATGTATGAAAAAAAGCTCATCATAATTGGTCATTAGAGAAATGCAAATCAAAACAATAATGAGATACCATCTCACTCAAGTTTAAATGGCAATCATTAAAAAGTCAGGAAACAACAGATGCTAGAGAGGATGTGGAGAAATAGGAACACTTTTACAGTGTTGGTGGGAGTGTAAATTAGTTCAATCATTGTAGAAGATGGTGTGGCAATTCCTCAAGGATCTAGAACTAGAAATACCATTTGGCCCAGCGAGCCCATTACTGGGCATATACCCAAAGGATTATAAATAATTCTACTATAAAGATATATGCACACGTATGTTTACGCAGCACTATTCACAATAACAAAGACTTGGAACCAACTCAAATGCCCAACAATGATAGACTGGATAAAGAAAATGTGGCACATATACACAATAAAATACTGTGCAGCCATAAAAAAGGATGAGTTCATGTCCTTTGCAGGGACGTGGATAAAGCTAGAAACCATTATTCTCAGTAAACTAACACAGGAACAGAAAACCAAATACCACATGTTCTCATTCATAAGTGAGAGCTGAACAACGAGAACATATGGGCACAGGGAGGAGAACATCACACACTGGGGCCTGTTGGCAGTTGGGGGCAAGAAGGAGGATAGCATTAGGAGAAATACCTAATGCAGATGATGGGTTGATGGATGCAGCAAACTACCATCACACCTATGTAGGAAGTCTGCATGTTCTGCACATGTATCCCAGAACTTAAATTATAATAATTTTTTTAAAAAAGAGTGTACTATTTGGAAAAAGGAAAGATAGGTAAAACAACTCAAAGAAAACTCAAGGTATAAAAATCTAAATCCCAAGGAAACAGTCATGTTAAGAATAATCAAAAATAACTATAAATCTGCTCAATATGAGTTGACGTCAATGAAAAATGTAACTACTGGTTAATGGATGGTATTTTATTAAGAATATTTCCAGTATACCATATACGAGACCTTTTCTGTGTGCTTTGCTTAAAAGTTTTTTTAATTAGATTTCCAAGGGCAAAAGAAATTATTATCTATATTAAACTTTTATACATATCTATACATACATATGTACAAGTGCATAATGGCCTTTTATGACCCAACTTTGGTGCTCGAACAGGTGATCAAGGCAGCAGAAGAGAAGCAATATTGGAAACAATACTCAGAGGTTATTGGAGAAAGTTGTACATGGAGCAAGTTTTGGAGATAGAAAGGTCACTGAGAAACCAGTAGTGGAGTTCAGATTAACATAGAACATTAGTTTCTGTAGATGTCAGAGTCACCAAGAAATGAGCAGTAAAGTTTGCATTTATCTCTGAAGAAAGTCTCATTAGCTGTGTTAGTAACATCTGCAGAGTTTCTAGTCAGCTGAACGTATACAGACCGTTCCTACCACTTCTTCCTCGGGGTCCCCTTGAGCTGTCAGGTAGGTCACCCTAAACTGCTGCACATCGCTGTCAGAAATGTCCCATTTTACCCGCAGGCTAGAAGTGGTTTCATCACCTATAACAAGGTTTCTGATTCCCATCTGGAAAACTGGAATAAATACAACCAAGTATTAAAAAACTTTTAACCCATTATATTCCAAAATGGGCCACAGAGACTACCTGTGGGGTGGCAGCAAGCATCATTTAATGATCCCTGTAATAGAGATCCATATGAGGCAAGAAGAGCTCAGCTATGGTACTTAGCGGGGAGGCATGATACCTATTAGGTATCATGCAAATAAAAGTGGGATTAAGAGATGCTTACAAGATGAGACCATGGAGCCCTCAAAACTATTAGTTCTGTATATACACTAGTGAAGAGAACTGGGGAGAAGCCCTGAGACTAGAAACCAGCCCATGGAACCCAAAGGAGAGCATGGTCATGAGAAACTCATACTAGTGCTCTGTGGACAAGTGAGCATGGTGGGCCAGACCTTGTCCACCTCTGTGTGTAATCCAGCAGCCAACACATATCCCAATCACCTGCCTCCGCCCCCATTTCTTTTTTAACACGCAAATCTCTCACTCAGGCTGCCTTTACCCATTCAGCCCACACAAACACTATCTTTTCTCTTAAACTTGTCCAAACTCCTTTACCCATGTTTTCTGGCACATTCATGCACATTTCTCAAAATGTCTGCTCTCTTATTTGTCCCGTTTTTCCCCCTAATTCTCTCAAAATGTCTGCTCCCTTATTTGTCTCATTTTTTTCTTTCCTCTTCTACCCTAACTTTATTTCCTTTTATCTATCTCTTCTCATTCTCCTTTCTTTTCATTCATGTATTAATTCATTTAGAAAATATTCATTGAACTTTTCCTGTGTGTCAGACTGTTAGAGCTTTGGTTTTTATATAGTTATTAACTCAACAAAAATAGTAAAAGTGTCACAGAGGAAGTAGTAGATTGACATTTACCTGGCAACATTGCAGGGGGGCTACCAGGCAATGGGAATGGGAGGGAACTTCTCACATTCAGGGCAAGGTGTTGGGGATGGCAAGAGAAAATGGGGGAAGCATAGGAAATATGGTTGAGGCCAGAAAGGGAAGCAGGACCCAACCAGAAAAGACCTTGGATGCCATAAAAGAGACTTTAGAACACAAAGAAGGGCTTGATAAAGATTAATTGAAGAATAAATGAATCAGCGAATGGGTAATGGCATGCCGTTGAAGGGTCTTAGAGAAGTAAATAAATGATATTATCAAATTGTGTTTCACCAAGTTGACTCTGACAGCCAGTTGGGAGGTATGTTACAGTGAAGGAGAAAGCTAAGCTGAGGGAGGAAATAGCTAATATAGGAAAAACAATAGACCGGCCAAGTCTCAGTTACCCACAGAAATGCAAGGAAAACACGATAAGAAAAATTCTCAATAAGGCCAGGCATGATGGCTCATGCTTGTAATCCCAGCACTTTGGGAGGCCAAGGAAGAAGGATCACTTGAGCTCAGGAGTTAAAGATCAGCCTGGGCAACATGGTGAGACCTCATCTCTACTAAAATTCAAAACAGCCAGGTGTGGTGGCACATGCCTGTAGTCCCAGCTACTTGCGGGGCTGAGGCAAGAGGATAGCCTGAGCCCAGGAAGTCAAGGCTGTAGTGGGCCTTGATCGTGCCACTGCACTCCAACCTGGATGACAGAGTGAAACTCTATCTCTAAAAGAAGAAAAGAGAAAAGAAGGGGAATTCTCAACAGAGAATAACAGAAGTCACTGAGAGAGAGAGGAGGGCAAAGACCCCTGGGGAGGCAGCTACATTAACATCTCAGGTAAGGTGCTTGAGCACCCAAGACAAAGATGAAAGAGGCAGAGTGATGTATCAGTGAGATCAATTGACTAGGAGACCCATGGGCATTTAGTGGCAAAGAAGAGGTTGAGAGGCTCTGAGAGGAGGGAAATTTGAACCAGTGTGCCAGAGAAGGAAGGGAGGGTCATCTCTTTTCCTGACTGATAATAAATAAAACCAAGATAACATCTGTTTAAACAAAATTTTTAAAGTGGGGAAACAGGCTACTATTTGACCTTACCTGAAGTCACAGGTGTGGTAGGCACTACGGTTGTAGCTGGTTCTGTCCAAACACTATCAACTAAAAACAACATATTACTTTAAAATGCTGTAAAAATAGTAACTGTCCATTTGTATATAGCATTTTGTATCTTTCAAAGAACATTTCACCCGTATTATCTCACTTGCTTCCCACAACAAACATGACTATGGTTAGAAGACCAAAGAAGTGAATTATAAGTAAGGCAGACATGTCTGTTCCACAGATAAAGAAACTGAAACCCTTATTTATGTTAAAGTTTCTCATCACAGACACCAGGCTTCACATAAACATTTGAACTGCATCTACAAAATTGTGAAACCACCCAATTACTTTGAAATAGGGGCATAGCCACGGTAATTAAGGAAAATTAGGCAGTGCTGTAGACCGAGCTGTGAAAGGGCTGCCAAACAGGACCACCATGGAGTGCAATGTGCTTAGACAAGCAGTGCATCTTCCATTTCTTACAGCCACCGTGGGCATACAGCAGAATGAAGTGCAGATGTGGTGCTCTTCCCAGATCCTCTTTTTAGAGTCAACACACCCATCCACTTGGTGCTGGAACACTGCCTGCCAACAGTTCATAGCTCTGGGAACTGTCTTGCCTGAGTTCATGGCCTCTGTCAGGGGATGGCTCACCTCCAGCAACTGGAGATGCAAGGTTATGAAGTCTCAGTCCCTTTGCCTCAATTTGGGACAATTCAGAAGGGTCATCCTACCAATGGCCCTTCATTATAGCAAGACTAGCTAAGGGTTCAGTTTCAACTTCTTTCCATGCCCCGTCCTGCTGTCCTCAGTTTTTTACATAAGCTTCTCCCAGCTGCACTCTTCAATAAACTTTCTGGCTGCAATTTTCTGTCTAGAATCTGGTTCCAGGGAACCCAATCTAAGGCAATTTAATATGTGGTCAATACCTCATATTTCAAAAATGAAGAGATGAATGAATCAGCAAGTAAATTTTGTACAAGATTCTTGGAGCCAATATCAACTTGGAAAATTCCAGAAACTCTTTCACATGTTGGCCCTGGGTTTATTTGTTTGCCAATCTATTCATTTGTAAGTTATTTTACCTATCCATGCATACATCCATTCATCTATCCATTCATCCATCCATTCGATGGGTATTTATTCTACAGTTAACATGTACCAAATACTGTGCTAAGTCCTGGGGAATATGACGGTTAGCAAAACACATATGGTCCCTGCTTTCATGGTGATCATAGTCTGGGAAACTAAGATGCTTTATATACTGGTTTCACTGAAGGTGAGGATATATGAAGAATTCTGAGGGACAAAGGGATACTGAAGCTTCCACAGCCAAGGAAGCAGATGGGGAGGGAAATGGATGGAGTAAAGAGGGATTATGAGAGCAGCTGAAATGCACTGTGGCCAGACCAAGACTTACGTGTGGTCCCAACAGCAGTCACCACCTCACTCTCACTTCCATCATCAAGTACGGCCAATAGTGAAACTTCATACTCCGTACCGGGCTCCAGGCCTTCAATAACATATGAATCCTGCTCTTCTTTTAAGGCAACCTGAAATGTATTTTGGTGCTTAGTAACTATCCTTATTTGAAAAAGAAAAGAAAAAATGTTGTTATGAGCATAAGGAAGAAACAACCAATCATAAAGAACTCCAGGCTACTGAAGTCCATTTTAAGATCAAGCTGGAGCCTTTATTTCTTTCAATCCCCTCAGCAAATAAATTACTAATATTGTAAAAGTGACATTTTAAAGTTGTATTAAATGTCATTTATTAAAGTCAAAGAGTCTGAAAATATATAAAGTATATAACTAAAGCTCTGGTAACAACACATGATAATATTAGGAAAATCATAACATTTGACATTTCTAAAACTCTAAGCCATGTAAAATATTAATTACTTCTGGGATTCTTAATATATTTTAAAGTGAAGACCAACTCCAGCAGCAGTAGGTATTTACTAATGCTCCGGATTAATTTTCAGTCTGTTTCAGACAACTCACCTCCTCAGTCTTCCCTCCATAGACTGGAATCCACATCAATTTGTGTAGCCCTTCATCAGCTGAGAGGGGATGCCAGGTCACCCTAAAACTGTCTGTCGTCACCTCATCAATTTCTAAGTATTGCTGGGCTGGAACTTCCTCTGTAAACCAAGGAAGGAGATTTTGTTAGGGAAATGAGAAATCAAGAAAGCCAAAACCCAAGTATCTCCCAGGGGTGTCGAAGACTCTTTGAGGAATCTTTTGCTTCAGGAAAACACAGGGAAGAAGGGGAATCAGGGCCCATCAGTCTAGGCTAGCCTTCCATTTCTGTTTCCAGCATTCACCAATATCATAAATTAGAGAAACCATGGAAATAACAGATCTTAAAATTTTTCCAATAATTTCCAAAATTCTTAGCTTTTCTACTTGGCTGTTTTCATTAACTATAAAAACCAAGGTTGCCATATTTATTTTTTTAAAAAATAATATTATTTTCCAAGTATCTTGAGGAAATTAATAAAATAGTACCCTAGGTACCTAAGAAAACTTCTCTTTTAGTTCTATTTGCTTTAGTGGCTAAATAGCTCCCTGGTATTAATCCTGGAAAAGAACCTTCAATCTTTTAACTTGTACATATTGTGGTCATCAGAAATGAAATCCAATTGATCAGGCCTTCCACTGTTTCAGAGCTTACACACTTCTGGGATATACAAGAGAAAGTATAACACCCAACTGCATCCAAAATAAATTGTCAAAGAATTGATTTTTATTCTTTGAAGTCAGGCTTTTTCTAAAACAAAAAACAAAAAGCAAACAACTTTTTGATGAGACACCATGAGAATCCCAACTAGAATTAGCTTTCTGGAGATTTTGTTAAGTTACTGAATTTTTCCATGAACATTATTTCTCAATTCTGCTTCTTTCTTGTCTCTCTCCAAATTATCTTCTCATCTCCTCAGTAAAGATTACATTTGTTTACAAGTGCAATCCATGATAAGTTCAGAAAACAAACAATAGAATTGTTGCAACCAAGAGACAAAAAGTAGCTACAGGGTACATATAGAAAATAAAAATAATATATTCATGTCTTATATTTAATTTTAGTGTTTAAAATATTATTTATTGTTATATGAAAATTTCAGTCTTCAGAAAAATCATCATTGGCTACAGACTGATGCAATGAGCTAAAAAGTATGAAACTATCATTTTTGTAGGTCAAAAACTGTTGGATATCAGCAATTTTGGAAATTCCACTTAACACACATAATCATTTGAATGGAAGAAGTATATAGAAGTTTTACATTAAGGAATGAAAGTAAAAGGTATAAAATTAGGAAGAAGAAAACATATTTTTTTTAAAAAAAACTGAGACCTTTTAAGTTTAGATAGTCTAAAGTCTCTCTTCCTTGCTTTGATAAAAAATAATAAGCCAGTACACATATGAGTCATCTGATTGTTCATTTGTTAATGATAACACATACAAGAAATAAAAATTAAAATGCAATCTCTTCAAACTCACAACTAAAGAAGGTGCTTTGGGTTCTGTTTTCTATGTATTAATAGCTACCCTTGAAACCCTTCAAAACGTAATGAGGCTGCTTACCTGTGGTAAAAACTCCAGTCAGAGGCTCTGACTGTCCTTCATCATAGATGGAGAAAATAGCAACAGTATACTCAGTGAGAGGTGTCAAGCCTTTCAGAGGGAATGTAGTAATAGGATCAACTTCAACCTGTCAAAGAAAGAAGTCATCATAATAGCTCTGTATAATGCTCTCTAGATATAAGAATCATTTTATTATTGTCTGCAGCTCACTTGGCTGACAGCAAAGCTATAAATACTGTAAAATAAATTACTGAATTACAAAAACAGCCAGTTTATATATATACATTTCTAATCTTATACCCTTAGATTACCCATCAGTTAATTCTCAGGACAACTTTGCAATCAATATTCTTTCCATTCATTCCAGATACGAAGTGCAGACAATTTAAGAGGCTGATATAAATACAGATAATGTTTCCAGCTAGATCTGCTAGTAGCAGCCAGTTTTTTGCTTCACTGCCTGGGCTCTGCTGTCCCCATAGCTAAGTAACACATGATGACTCCTATAAGAGTTGTACAGGTAAGCAACGATGCTGGAAAAGAATCGAGGAACAGGCCGGGTGCAGTGGCTCACATCTGTAATCCCAGCACTTTGGGAGACCAAAGCGGCAGATCACAAGGTCAAGAGATAGAGACCATCCTGGCCAACACGGTGAAACCCCGTCTCTACTAAAAATATAAAAAAAATTAGTCAGGCGTGGTGGCACGCGCCTGTGGTCCCAGCTACTCGGGAGGCTGAGGCGGAAGAATCGCTTGAACCCAGGAGGCGAAGGTTGCAGTGAGCCGAGATTGCGCCACTGCACTCCCGCCTGGTGATAGAGTGAGACTCCATATCAAAAAAAAAGAATCGGGGAAATTAATACTAAAGAAAATGGTAAATATTTGAAACATTCTTCTATCTTCCACAGAAAGACATATTTGATGAAAGCATGTATCTTGGCTGTCATAATCTGGGGCACCACCTTTTCTTTCTACCATACTCCGGTGGCCTCCTGGGCTCCAGCCACACTGGCCTCCTTTCAGGCCCTTGCTTTTCCCACCTCAAGGCCTTAGCACATGCAGTTCACTCTGTCTGTGACCCTATTTCCCATCTCCTGTCAAAATTAAGCCTTCTTCCTTTATCACGGCTATGCTTAAATATCATCTCCTGAGAGGAGGTTTCTCTTTCCACCTGTTTCCACCTATGAGTAGGGTTATTCTCTGACAGTTGCCTTGTTGTTTCCTCCTTGGCACCAATGGCAACCTGGAATTACTTTATTTACCTACATATTTATTGTCTGTCTCCTGCATAGAGTATAAGCTCCTTGAGGGCAAGATCTTGTTCAGTTTCTTCACCACTGTATGTTGAATTGTATTTTTTTGCGTGAATAGAATAAGTAAATTAAAATGAAGGGGGCCGAGCGCGGCGGCTCACATCTGTAATCCCAACACTTTGGGAGGCCGAGGAGGGCAGATCACAAATTCAGGAGACCGAGATCATCCTGGCCAACATGGTGAAACTCCATCTCTCCTAAAATACAAAAAATTAGCTGGGCATAGTCCCAGCTACTCAGAAGACTGAGGCAGGGAAATCGCTTGAACAGGAGGCAGAGGTTGCAGTGAGCCAAGATAGTACTGCTGCACTCCAGCCTGGGGACAGAGCAAGACTCCATCTCAAAAAAAAAAAAAAAAAAAAAGGATGAAGGCACCAAAAAACTGTTGCTTAAAAGAGGTGAGAAAGGTCTCCTCTAGACCAAGGGCCAGTCCAGAAGCCATACACATCTCTAAAGAATCAACTGTAGGTCAAAAAAGAGTGCCAACCCTGAATAAAAGAGCTATCATTCTACTGTATCATTGTACTGTACTGAGCCACTCTTGTGGAGAGGGCCAGCGAATCCCAGCCTTTTCAGACACTCTAGTTGAGGTGTCACACATGGGTGTGAAGTCGTCCTAGAAGTTCTGGTCCAGCCATATTCCCAGATGAATGCACGAATCACCTCCGCTGACACCACATGGCAGAGCCCAGCTGTCCCTGCTGAGTTCTCCTGCATACTCCTGGGCTGCACGTTAAGCTGGAGTGTTGGTTACACACAACAGTTAACTGAATATATGGATTATCTTCTTCTGAATCAGGGATCGATAACATTATAGGTCATTTTTAGCACTTACTGTTTACTGCAGCCTGCAAATTGTCTGCATGCTTTATACGCATTCACTTATTGAATCCTTATCACAGTCCTGTAGGGGAGCTAATTATTACTCCCAATTTGAAAATGGAAAAAATGAGATTCCAAAAGTTAAGGAACTTGCCCAAGAAGAAAACAGTTAGTACACAAGACTTAAACACAGGCGTTTCAGGCTCTAAATCCTATGCTCCTAAACACTATTTAAATATGGATTCATTATTTAAGCTCATAGAAAATACAAACTCATGTTAAAAATGTGAGTTCAAACATATTTCCTAACTGCTAGTTACATATCGCTTTCTGTTGTTTTGAATGGTCATCGCTGAGATTTACTGAGCACTTACAAAGAGTCAGGGACTTGATATACATCTTACTTACAGTCTCTCCTGCTCACCTTCACTCACCAAATGCTAGGTGCTTTTACAATTATTATCCAAAGGAAAAGCTGAGGCCCAAACAGCTTACCTAACTTGTCCTGAGCTGTAAAACTGTTATCTGGAATGTCTAGTTAGGTCTTGACCTTGTTTCTAAGTTTCAAATCTGTGACAAACAGGAATTTTGCAAAGATGTCAAACATACATAAAAGCAGTTAAAATCTAGGTACTAGATTCTTAGGTACACCAAATGGGAAAAAGGACTAAAAGGAGAAACGTGTGTGTGTGTGTGTCTGTTAAAAAAAGGATCTTGTTTATTAAATATTTGATGCTGTATTCGATGTCTGTATCTTACATAATTTTAGCAGATTATTTTATTTCATCAAATGGAGACCTTATCATTTATTTTTATTAGTTAAAATATTACGTTTTAAACAATTAGTCCCAGAACTGATTTTTCTGGTAGTGTTTTACGATGTAAAAGAAAAATTTGAGGAAACAATAATGAATAGCCATGATCTCATTGTTATGTAACTATTTCTGAGAATTATTCTCAACCAGACTAGCTAAAAGTTTAACTTCAGCCTAATTTTGGAAGGGATGTAGAAAAAGGCCCTGATGAGGAACAAGGGATTTGGGCTCAACTCCAGGATCTACTGCTGAGTCACTGCTGTTAGGAACTGGACTCTCAAAACCCAAAAACTGGGGCCTTTGCATTTATAAAACTCAAATGGTAGCACTTAATTCTCTATCATGTTTTTGTGCTTCCAAAATCTTTTCACAGTAAATGCTACCTGAGATGACTGCTGTCCTTAGTTTGACAAGTCACACTTTGTCAGCATTTGGTTCTGTGAGGATTACACGAGGTATTCTCTTTAGAGCAGTGTACCTCCTGTAATCCTTGCAGAACCAAATCCTTACAGAACCAAACAGTGCCTGGCTCGTGGGAAGCACTTAACAAATGTTAGCCACCATTATCATCATCACCATCATTATCATCATCGCCATCATTATCAACATCATCATCACCATCATTATCATTAACCTCATCACTACCATCACCACCATCATCATTACTATCATCACCACCATCATCACCATCACCATCATCACCACCATCATCATCACCATCACCATCAACACCATCATCACCATCACCATCATCACCACCATCATCATCATCACCATCACCATCATCACCATCA